GGGGGGAGGGCGGGGGGGAACGACCCGGGTTGTGTAGCTGTGTTCCACGTTTTGAGGTTGTTCTCCCCTCAATTGCAGGCAAATGTGCAATACCAAGATGTCCTCCCTTACGGATGCTTCTTCTGTCACCGCTTCGGAGCAAGAGGCGCTGGTCAGTAGCTCTGTTGGACGCCCGAGTTTTTCATGCTTTTTGCAGAGTTTTTATCTGCTAATTCAGAAGGGCTGCTTTGCTCAGCAAGCGATGGTTAGAGAAAAGCCAGGAAATCCGGTGAAGATGGTCTGTCTTTGATCCTGTAATTGTGAAGCAAATGTTTCTCATTCGTGGTTGAGAGTTGAGGGTGATGGTTTAGGTCCAGACGTTGTTTCCTGGAGACCTTTGATGGTCAGGTTGCTTTCTCTTAATAAAAAGGATCTTGAGGTCCGATTTGATCATGGTAAGTATTTCATGGTGGAAATTGTTAACAGTTCATAACTAAAGAGTTGTGTAAGATCTCCGTTGTGCAAAACATACGCTGTTTGTGAAATAATTTATAATTACAACTGAAGGGTTTTTTTAATTTGGCATTTTCACTTTCTGTTTTATTGGGATTCATAAGCAAGTTGTAATAAGAGTCTTCGTTTGTGTTTATAGTTTTGCATATACAGGCTTTCTATGATACAGTGACAGTTCTGCTGTCCTGTTTTTTCTAAGTAAGTTTTCCTGAGGTTGGAAGCCTATGTGTTATACCTGAGATGCGAGTTAAAACTGGCATGTGTACAATGACCGTTGAACTAGATGGCTCTTTGTAGAAGGGTAAAGCTTAAAAGTGTAGACTGATTGCAGAACTTCAAAAAAGTGAAGTAACAACAGTCGATTGTTCAAAGTTGATTTTTTTTTTTAAAAAATTTGTTTCTTCTTTTTATAAGTCATCATAATGTGATGCTACTGTCTGCTGTCAGATCTGCATGGGAGAAGAACTTTATACTTGCAGGAGTCGGGGAGAGAGGGCTGGGGAGTAAAAGGATCTGAACCCATGAGTGTAGTTGTGGATGCAGAGATCTGAAACTGTGCTTTGCTTTCCTATGCTCTGCTGTCATTAGTAGTTTAACTGCTTCCTTTATGAAACTGTATTTAGAGCACTGCTGCGTGTGCTAAATAATTCAGCACTTAGGAAGGGGTGAATAGATATCTAATGTTCTCCACAAGCTTGTTTATTGTTTTCATTGTGTATGATTCGTGGAACTAATCTCTTGTTAATGCACTAAAACGTAAAGTTCGTTTTAGCAGATAGTTGAAGTGGACTGTAGGCAAGTTCTCCCCTTTCCCTTAAGCATTTATTCCTTGTCATAATATTTTATTAATGCTTTCCTATAAAATGTTTGTTTTCTATAATATTTTTTTCTTATCTTAGGGGATGTATTAGGATAGAAAAATATTAGCCTGTTCTTAGAATGGTTGTACTATTGTTAAAGTAGCAATACTAGAATATACTGTACTGGGAATTCCGGTGGCTCCACAGGCATTTTCTTTGCAGTTGTAGCACCCCCTGCAGCTTGCTATCGTATTCTGCACTGGTACTGGCACAGCTGTTTGTGGAACAGGGCAGTGAATAGGATCCGAACAGTGCTCTGGCCAGAAGAAAAAGGAACGGGGAAGTGTGGTGTGTTGGGTTTTTTTGTTTTGTTTTGTTTTGTTTTTCTTTTTAAACTTTTCCTTCCTCTGCCTCCGAAGTTGTCATAGACTGGCTGCAGATATAATTCTGCTGGCGCAGTGGGGTAGTGGGAGGCCATTTCGGTGGTAGTAGTGATTGAAACGTGTGCTTATCCCATGTAAGAAAAGTCTTCAGAGATAAAGCAGCCCAGCTGGTAAATGCAAAACGATAGCCCCAGAAACTCTCACAGGAAGAGACTAGGAAAGAGGCCGACCAGTGTTCTGCTTTGTGGCTTGCACTCTGGACCTGACCGGTAGTCACAAAGGTCCATTTGCCTTCCTCCCTCCCCTTTGGGAATCACTGTAATGACTCAAAGGAGTGAAGCTGGATTCCCCAGGACCCAGCCCTGTACTTGAAACCACCGAATGAATCCTGTAGCTCAAACTGAGGAATCTGTATGTACCAATGAAAGACTGGAGTTTGAGCTAAGATGTACAGTGTATGAGAAGTTTAGTATGATTGGGTTGGCGTTATTTTCTTTTAAGTTTAACTTTGCAAAGTAAAAAACTTGGATGTGGGTAGGTTTTAATGTAGTTGTGTGTTTGTATATCAGATTAATACAGAGTTAGGAAGCTAACCTGTATAGTGTTTTGTTTGGTGAATAATTAGTGCACACTGTTTTTCTTCCCCGTACAGGTTAAACCAAAGCCACTATTGTTGAAGTTGTTAAAGTTAGCTGGTGCAGAGAAGGACACTTTTACTATGAAGGAGGTGAGAACTTTTAATCACTAAAGGTAGATTACAGTGAATACAGATAGATTGTTCTTTTGTCTTGGGTGAATGGGGGGCAGTGTAGCTCACAGCTTATCTGGAAGATATTGAGACAAGATGTTTTTATTCTCCTGCTGACTTGCTAGTTGGCGTTTAGCAAGTTTCTCAAAATCTGAACAGAAGTATCTGGCGGTCAGTAGAATAGCAGGGTACTTGGGGAATGATAGACGAAAATCTCAGCTTAAATGGAGTTTTAAGCAATCAGTGTCAGAAGAGCAAATCTTAATTAATTTAATGTTTTCCTCTTAAACTTGAAACAACAGAACCTGGGTATTTAATGTCTCTGTATGTCATTTATTTTACAGGTAATATTCTATCTTGGACAATATATTATGTCTAAACAATTATATGATGAAAAACAGCAACATATTGTACACTGTGCAAATGATCTCCTGGGGGATTTATTTGGAGTAACAAGCTTTTCAGTAAAAGAACACAGGTAAAACGGGATTCTTTTCTGAGGTTCTGGTTGTGAAATAATGGAGAACGTAATGAGTATGGCCTTTTCTAACTCTTTGCATCTTCAAAGATGGTAAGCTCTCTTTTATAATTACATGTAGCTAACTTGCAACATCTCTTTCTTTATCCCCATCTAAGGAGACTATATTCAATGATTTCCAGAAATCTGATAGCAATCAATCAACAAGGTAAGCTAGTTTTGGAGGACCTTTCGTTTTGGGAAAGAG